AGATAAGGCTTTAGTCAACAGAATGTGGGATTGAGGGAAAGGCTTTTTTTTCTTCTTTTGAAAGCAAAAGATGAGTGAAACTAGAGTTTGCTTGAATACCAATGAAAGGATCCAATATTGCAAGAGGTTAAAGGGAGATCCCTAAGAATTGGGAAGGGAAACTTGAACAGATATGGAGTTTGGCTTTTTTTTTTTTTTTTTTTTTTGAGACGGAGTTTTCGCTCTTGCTGCTCAGGCTGGAGTGCAGTGGCACCATCTCGGCTCACTAAAACCTCTGCCTCCCCGGTTCAAGCAATACTCCTGCCTCAGCCTTCCGAGTAGCTGGGATTACAGGCAACTGCCACCACGCCCGGCTAATCTTTGTATTTCTAGTAGAGATGATGTTTCACCATGTTAGCCAGGCTGGTCTCGAACTCCTGACCTCAAGTGATCTGCCCGCCTCGACCTCCCAAAGTGGTGAGATTACAGGCGTAAGCCACCGCCCCCGACCTGGAGGTTAGCTTTTAAGAAAAAAACTTCATACAATAAAATTGACTTTATTTTTGTCATATATAGTCCTATGGATTTTAACACATGTACAGATTCAGGTAACTACTACCACAATCAGATTCAAAAGAGTTCCATCACCCTAAAATCCTCCTTTTTGCTGTCTCTTCAGTCATTCCCTCCACCCCCTTAGCTCCTGGCAGACTGACTTACTCTCCAAACTATAATTTCAGTATTTGCATGAGTGTCATTTGAGACTGACTTAGTTTACTTGGCATAATCATTTCATTATTATGCAGTTATAATGCCTACTTGTTGTATATATCAATACTTTATTCCTTTTCATTGCTAACATTCCATTGGTGTTGGCTTCTGCTGGTATTCCTTAGGTCAGTAAATTATACCACTATTCTAACAATTACTTGGGCCAAAAACCTAAAAGGTACCTTCACTCTCTTCTCTAGTTTATATAACCAATCCATCAGCAAATCTTGGTGGTTCCACTTCCTTATCTTTTTATTTAGTTATTTTTTTTGAGACAGGGTCTCTCTCTGTTGCCTAGGCTGGAGTGCAGTGGCATAATCACGGCTCACTACAGCCTCCATCTCCTGGGCTCAAGCCATCCTCCCATCTCAGCCCCCTGACTAGCTGGGACTACAGGCACACACCATCACACCTGGCTAATTTTTGTATTTACTGATAGAGATGGAGTTTCACCATGTAACCCAGACTGTTCTCGAACTCTTAGCCTCAAGCAATCCACCCGTCTCAGCCTCCCATAGTGTTGGGATTACAGGCATGAGCCACTGCGCTCACTGGCTCGCTCAGCCAGCTCCACTTTCAAAATATACCTGGAATCTAACCACTTATCACTACCTCCACTGCTGTTACCTAGTTCAGGCCACCATCATCTTCTGCCAAGATTAGTGCTTCTACTCTTACCCCTCTATCCTTGTAGTCAATTCTCATTCAACACAACAGCTAGAATGATCCCTTTAGAGTTATAAATCTGATCAAGTCACTCTTCGGTTCTAAACTCTCCAGGGCTTTCAGTGGTGATGGGCAAAATTGTTGCCATAATTGATAAGGCCCCAGCTACCTTTTTAATCTGGTCTCTTAGCACTCTCCCCGTCACTCACTCTGAATCAACACAGTGATCTTCTTGCTATTCCCAAAGCACCTCAGGCAGGCTTCTGCCCCAGGGCATTTGAATTTGCTATCTCCTCTGCCTGGAACACTCTTCCCCTAGATATCTACATGGCTCGTGCCCATTAAGTCAATCCCAGTTTCTGCTTAAGTGATCCTTATAAATTCTTCCCTAACATCTAAAACAGCAGCTACCTGACACCACTTTCTAATCCCTACCCTGCTGTTTTTCATAGCATATATCCCTGATGTTATATATTTGTTTTCTCTCCCCAAACTAGTAAAGATACTTGCAAGCAGGGAATTTTTTTGTTTTGTCCATTGCTCAGTAAGCACCTACATGAGTGCCTAGTCTGGCATATAATGGGAATTCAGTGAATATTTTTGATTGAATAAATAGGAGGGAAGGACAGGATGGGAACGCAAGTAAGTAGGTTTCTCCATTTCAGGACATTCTACATTTTCTGTTACTTATATGATAAGGAAATCAGGGGAAGTGGTATGGGTATAGATCAGAGATTTGTAGAGATCGTGGAGAGCAAGTTGACTAGAAAAATATAATGAAATTTCTAGTCACAGTTCACAGTCCTTTTTTTTTTTGAGATGGAGTCTTGCTCTATCACCCAGGCTGGAGTGCAGTGATGTAATCTCAGCTCACTGCAACCTCCACCTCCCAGGTTCAAGCAATTCTCCTGCCTCAGCCTCCCGAGTAGCTGGGACTACAAGAGCCTGCCACTGCGCTCAGCTAACTTTTGTATTTTTAATAGAGACCATGTTGGCCAGCATGGTCTCACCATGTTCCACCATGTTGGCCAGGCTGGTCTCGAACTCCTGACCTCATGATCCACCCACCTCAGCCTCCCAAAGTGCTGAGATTACAGGTGTGAGCCACCGCACCAGGCCCACAGTCCATTTAAAGTTGGTAATTATTAATGTAGTGATGCCAATCTGTTCAGCAGGACAATTTTCTTTTTTTTTTTTTGAGGTAGAGTTTTGCTCTTGTTGCCCAGGCTGGAGTGCAATGGCACAATCTCAGCTCACTGCAACCTCCACCTCCCAGGTTCAAGCTCTCCTGCCTCAGCCTCTGGAGTAGCAGGGATTACAGGTCTTCGCCACCATGCCCGGCTAATTTTTGTATTTTTAGTAGACAGGGTTTCACCATGTTGGTCAGGCTGGTCTCAAACTCCTGACCTCAGGTGATCCACCGGCCTTGGACTCCCAAAGTGCTGGGATTACAGGTGTGAGCCATCGTACCCGGCCTCAACAGGACAATTTTTTTTTTTTTTTCTTCTTTTTTCTGAGATGGAATCTAGCTCTGTTGCCCAGACTGGAGTGCAGTGGCGCGATATCAGCTCACTGCAACCTCCGTCTTCCAGGTTCAAGAAATTCTTCTGCCTCAGCTTCCCGAGTAGCTGGGATTACAGGCATGCGCCACCGCACCCAGCTAATTTTAGTATTTTTAGTACAGACGGGGTTTCACCATATTGGCCAGGCTGGTCTCTAACTTCTGACCTCGTGATCCGCCCACCTTGGCCTCCCAAAGTGTTGGGAATACAGGTGTGAGCCACCACGCCCAGCAACAGGACCAATTTCTATGACAAGGTACAAGCAAGGAGAAACACATAGGTCCATCCAGGGTGAGGGATTTCGTTAGGGAAAAGGGAGTGTTGTGGTGGGATTAAGTAGGGGCAGGGCTGTAATAAGTACCACTGAATCTAAAATGGATAAGGAGGGAAGTGAAGAGGGGATTAACGGATAAGACATAATGTAGAGGCTTTCAACCGATTAGATGCTCTGCTCTGATAAAGTGAAAGAAGAGGCCGGGTGCAGTGGTTTACACCTGTAATCCCAGCACTATGGGAGGCCGAAGCAGGCTGATCACCTGAGTTCAGGAGTTCGAGACCAGCCTGGCCAACATGGCAAAACCTGGCTCTACTAAAAATGCAAAAATTAGCTGGCTTGGTGGCACACACCTGTAATCCTAGCTACTCGAGAGGCTGAGGCAGGACAACTGCTTGAACCCGGGAGGCGGAGGTTGCAGTGAGCTGAGGTTGCGCCACTGCACTCCAGCCTGGGCGACATAGTAAGACTCTTTCTTAAAAAAAAAAAAAAAAGTGAAATAACATTTATACAGTTATGCTGTAATTCTATTTTTTGGGGGGTTGGGGGGAACAGTATCTCTGTCACCCAGGCTGGAGTGCAGTAGCACAATCATGGCTCACTGCAACCTCCGCCTCTCCTGGGCTCAGGTGATCTCCCATCTCGGCCTCCCGAGTAGATGGGACCACAGGCATGCGCCAAAACGCCTCATTAATTTTTATATTTTTTGTAGAGATGGGGTTTCGCCTTGTTGCCCAGGCTGCTCTCCAACTACTGAGCCCAAGAGATCCGCCTGCCTCAGCCTTCCAAAGTGCTGAAATTACAGGCGTGAGCTACTGTATCAGGCCTATAGTTCAAAAGTAGTCAAGCTGAGAGAATAGCAGGCTGTGGTTGAAAAAAGGGTTGTTCAAATTACTGAGTATAGCGTTTCGAGGGACAAGGTCCAGGTTTTGACTGGTATTGGGAGGCAGATATAAGGGTCGCTAAAGACGAGGCCCGATATTGAACGGGTTGGCCACATAGGCTCTGAAATTATCAAAGAAGATGGTCAGACGCGAGATAGACAAGCAGCTGGATACACAGATCGGTAGATTATCTCCAAACGGGGTGAAATAGGTGACAGAGTCTAAGAGGAAGGGTTGGAGAAGCAAGTGTTTTTACAAGAGGTGACAGCACCTGGCACATAATCCGGACCTCTGGAAACTGAGACCTGAGAATACTAATTCACATGAGCTTTCAAGGGACGCAACATTCTCAGGACAGCCAGGTCTCCGTCCCAGGAAGGAGCGGAGAAGTTTAGAGACAAGCTGACCTAAACATGGGAACCCCTGAGGAAGACGGGCTTGAAGGCAGGAGATTGAGTAGTGGACCGAACCCTACACTCCTCTGCTCTTCAGTTACTTTCCTCCCAGCCAACCGCCCGAGCCACACCAACCTCCGCAACAGAAAATGCTCGGAGAACACTATCTCCTTCCCGGCTCTTTTCAACTCCCCGCGTAAGGGCTCACACCGGAACCCCTCTGTGTCCGCACTTTGCCATTGGCCGAAGCTTCCGCCCGCTTCCATTCGCTTCCTCCCACGACTCAGTCGGGCGGCGCAGTCCGTGGGACCCACTTCCGCCTCGTCCCACCCCCCGTCCCCCAACCCGGTCCCTTTTTAGCGGCTTCCGGCTTCGGGCCCGCCACGCCCCCTGTGGCCCCGCCCCGCCCCCGCCCCCGCGCCCGGCCCGCGGTCCGCCCCTGGCCGGCGGTCCGCCCCCCGCCCCTGGCCGGCGGTCCGGCCCCGCGGCGCCGCTTCCGGTGCGGGCCCCGCCCCGGCTGTGGCCCCCGGCTGCGGAGGACTCCGAGACGCAGCTGCCGCGCCGGGGCCTGAGCGGCCGCCTCCTCCTCCGCCGCCCGAAAAGCCGGAGCGCCCCGCACAGGTAAGCGGTGCGCGTCCCGGCTCCCTCAGGCACGGCGGGAGGGGAGGCTGCGGCAGGTGGAGGGGCCGAGGCCAGGAGCCAAGGCAGGTGTGGAGAGAGAGGGGAAGGCGCGGGCCGGAGGCGCGGGGACCGCGAAGGGAAGTGAGAGCGCCGCGGGAGCCCCGAGCGCCCTGTGCCCATTAGGGCATTTGAGATAAAGCGATAAGAAGGGTGAGGGGCCCTGGAGCTGAGTGGGCGCAGATAGGTGGGGCGGGGGCCATCGGAGAAGAGCCAGCGGATTGACTGGGAGGGTTGGTAGAGGTAAAAGTGATAGGGCTAAATGGGGGAAGGTGAATAAAGAATGGGGGGAGGCGTGCAGGGGTGACCGGGAAGGTGGGCTGTGGGTCTTACAGGGGCCCGGGGCCAAACGAATCCGGCAGGAAAGGTAGGGGAATGGTCGGCAGGCCGGGTTCAAAGCTGCAGGCAGTCCGTTGCACCCGGCTTGGTGGTCCGGGAACTTTAGGGGAAATGGGGGAAGGGCCCGTGTGAAGGGATGAAGAGGTTTAGATTTGAGACATAAGTTCTCCAAATGTAGGCAGGTGGCATTGTTTAGATCGCTGGCTGCTTAGGGACTGCGGGAAGATGGGCTCTTTGGGGGAGGGTGTGTGTATTGAGTTGTAGAACTGAGTCATCTCAGTCTTACTATAAGAGGCTGTGGGAGGGACACCTCCCCCTCTGCTGGGGACAGCATTCAGAGAAGATGGTGCCACAAGACAAGAAGCAGTTGTTCAGTGACTGGCAGGACTTGGTTGAGAAATTATTCCAATCGTGATTGATTGACTGTAATGACTGTGAGGACATTTAAAATGAACACCGAATTATTTGCTTTATTCTGTAATTTTCTTTGACCCAAATTGTTTTCATTTTAAATGAACACTTTTGCCAGCTGAATTTAATGTGGATGTAAATCTTGTCATGCTTTTTTACACTGTAAGAAGAGCTAAAGCAGAATGAAAGTATGGCTGCAAGCGTAACTCACACTTTCTAAAGTGCCAAGAGAGGAAGTAAAGGCAGTAAGAGGCAAATTGGAATGCGAATCTTTCACAGAACACAAAAGGCACAAACAGGGCTATAAGATAAACAGAAAATGAGAATGTTTAATCTCTACTAATTGGCCTAGCTTTAAAAATTGTATCCTTTTTTACTCTAACCTGGGAAAAAAATCTTAAATCCAAGCAGTTTTTATTGCTAAAGATGTGATTACTTCTCCGTGAATTTTTGAAGATGCTAAAGACACTTTGTTTTTTGTCTTTCGACCCAATCCTAAAACACTGGAACAATGCAGATATCAAGTCCCAACATGTGCACTGCAGCTTCTTTCATGTGATGACAAAATTGTACGCCATGTTGCAAGTCCTGTTCACCTAAAATTTGCCCTTGCATAGTAATCCATTCAGTTATGGAGACTTGCTGAAGAAACATAACTCAAGTGAAGTTTGTTGGGGGTGAGAGCCTGCAGGGGAGAGGTGGGGGAATTAAAGGAGAACAGGGTGTGAAAGTGATGTGTGTTTGGAGACTGATTGGTAAGAATGCAGATAAACCTGCCCCCAGAATGCTTTTGGCCCGAAAGCCTTTTCTTTTTGTATTTGTCAGAGAATATCATAGTAGAAATGAATCAGAAAGAAAGGGGATGTAAAGAGTTTTACTTGACTGTTTATAAAAAAGAAGCAGCATTAACTTGTTCAGACGATGTTGATATCTGTTTCAAATTAATTAACTTTAAAATCTCCAGAGGAATTCCCCCGTTTGCTTTTGAGTGACGATCGCAATTTGAGACTCTTGCCTCCTTGCGTGTTTCTTTCATGTTGTTGAAATTGGATTCCTTTTGAGGCTATAATGTCCAGTTAGTATGGCTCAGTCCACTCAACAAGCAGGCTGGCAATTTGATCAGGGAAATTTGAAAAGTTTAAACCCAAGAGCAGCTTGCTTGGTCTTGCTTTTTCTATGAGAGTAAAACTGTCTGCCTGATAGTTCTGTGTCTAGCTCAGAGGTGATATCTTTCTCCTGTGGGCTTGGGAACATACTCTCTCTTTTGCAGGTAGGCCCTTCTTTTCCTTTATTATTATTGTTTGCATAATTACAGCTTTTGCTACAGAGCAAACCCAGTTACCTTTTCAGTAATTAATGTTGAGTGACATTAATTCAGTAACAGATTAATGTTTGATAATGTAGAGGAAGAGAGATCAGAACACATGTTAACAGACTAGATATTGGCTGGATGTACTTCTTTTAAAGCCCTCAACAGTCTGCTACTACTACTGAGATTCATTCCCTATTTCCCCTCTTAGATCCTGTTTCTCTTCTTCACACCTTTTCCTACCCACCCACGAAACCCCCACCACTCACCCATCTTAAAACTCAGGTTTAGGAGCATATGTTTAGCATTCAGAACTCGTGGCCCTCTACTGGAGAAAAGGAAACCTTTTTATACCTGTTTTACATAGTTGTTTTTTCCCTCTCCTTTGTGGTTTCTGTTAATCACTAAGGTTTAGACCCAGTGTGCCTGGTGGGCTGTGCCCAGGTTCAGAGTCATGCCACTCTGTGGGTGAAGCTTGAGGCAATAATGGAACCACTTCAGCAGCAGCAGCAGCAGCAGCAGCAGCAGCAGCAACAGAAGCAGCCACACCTGGCTCCTCTGCAGATGGATGCCAGAGAGAAGCAGGGCCAGCAGATGAGAGAAGCCCAGTTCTTGTATGCCCAAAAGCTGGTCACACAGCCGACTCTCCTTTCCGCCACACCTGGGAGGCCTTCTGGCAGCACTCCCTTAGGTCCCTTAGCCAGAGTTCCATCCACCACAGCAGTGGCCCAAGTCTTTGAACGGGGCAACGTGAACTCAGAGCCTGAGGAAGAGGATGGAGGTTTGGAAGATGAGGATGGGGATGATGAAGTTGCGGAGGTGGCTGAGAAAGAAACCCAGGCTGCTTCAAAATATTTTCATGTGCAGAAAGTAGCTCGCCAAGATCCCAGAGTGGCACCCATGTCCAATCTACTTCCAGCACCAGGGCTGCCACCACATGGACAACAAGCTAAAGAAGACCATACCAAAGATGCTTCCAAGGCCCCACCTTCTGTCTCCACAGCAGGGCAGCCAAATTGGAATCTGGATGAGCAGCTCAAGCAGGTCAGTCTTTCTGGTATTGGAGGTCATTTGTTCTTAAAGGCTGGAGAGGGGTAATGGACTGACAGGGTCAGGGGCTGTACCAGTCTGTGCCTTCTCATCCCACTTCAGTGACCGACAGCCTAGACATGAATAGACTTTGGATTTTTTTCTTATTTAATATTTGCTTCATTAAAGCAATGAAATGCATGTTACTATGTTACTCTTTTTTTTTTTTTTTTTTGTGATGGAGTCTCACTCTGTCGCCCAGGCTGGAGTGCAGTGGCATGATCTCAGCTCACTGCAACCTCTACCTTCCGGGTTCAAGTGATTCTCCTGCCTCAGTTTCCTGAGTAGCTGGGACTATAGACGCGTGCCACTACGCCTGGCTAATTTTTTGCATTTTTAGCAAAGATGGGGTTTCACCGTGTTAGCCAAGATGGTCTCGATCTCCTGACCTCGTGATCTGCCCACCGCGGCCTCCCAAAGTGTTGGGATTACAGGCATGAGCCACTGCCCCTGGCCTGTATGTTACTCTTAATATAGGTTTTTCCAAGTTTGATGTGAAAGAATGTCAATACAATCTCGTTTTTTAAAGGAAAGATGAAGTTGCAACAGTGTTGTGAGGAATATCTAAAATGAGATGTGTGACTAATTACAGCTTTTCTAATAATAATGTTTTCTAGTAGTAATGTAAAAGAACATTCTTGCCTGAAACAGTTTCTTAGCTCCAGGCTAACCCTCTTAAGGACAGTTGATTGTTTTGGAGCTAAACACAGCTGACAAGAAGCACTTGCATTGCGTATATTTTCCAACAGAGAGCCTTGTAGACATGATTTCATTTCACTCTTACATCATCCCCTTGACAACAGGGAAGGGTAGACCTCAAAATTTCCTTTTTAGTCAAGGAAAGCTGAAGTGACTTCCAAATGGCTGAGGGAGCTTTTTAAAAAATACAGATTGCAGAGTCCTAATGAATTATCTTGGAGGGTGGAGCCTAGGGAATCTGTTCTCAACCAAGCCTTTGACTTGTGATTCCTCTTCTCTTTGTGACCCACAATACAGTTTTTCCTTGCCCAAAGGATGGGAGTGCTGATAAGTTGTTCCAGGTTAAGTGACTTGTTGGTGCTTAGGAAGGGAGTTCATGGGTACCCTGCAGAAGCACACACACTTCTTGTGACCCAGTGGTACTGTTTAGAAATCATTTGTGAAAAGCTGTGAGTTTTCACAGGGCAACTGAGAAGTCATGTAAGAAAGGTCCTTTGGAACCTGAAAAATCAAACATCTTGGATCAGGAGGTCTGTACAGTAGATCTGAGTTTTACAACAATAGTGTTTGCAGCCAGAAGTGGGGTTCAAATCCCATCACTTCCAAATGTTGTCCTTGTGATCTTTTAGTAGGGCTCTGAGTTGCTTTGAGCCTGTGTCTTCTCATCTGTGAAATAAAAAGGATGCCAGTGCCTCCCACGGATGTTGTAAGGATTAACCGAACTAGCACACGTGAAAGCCTGTCCAGTGCCAGGCACATGGTAGGTAATAGTGCCCGGGGAGCTATTTTATGTAAACAGTGCCACCGTCTCCTGCATCACACAGACATACCTCTGAAGTGGGAGAGGTACTGAGATACACAGAGGTTTTCGCTCACATCACCCAGGGAGATAGTGGCAGAGCTAGGACTAGAATCAGAGAATCCCAACTTCCACGACAGCAGCACCCTGGCCGCCAGCCCAGACCCGCCTCCCACTGATTGCTTTGGTTTAGCAAAACATCTGTGAGTTGCCGGCTGCCCCCGCACTGTTGTGTGGTTGGCAGAGTTCCATACTGGCCGCTGAGTCAGCTCATAGCGGGATCCTGCCCTGACAGCGCTGGGAAAGTTCAGGCCCGAGGCGGCTGGGCTGCCCCCGCCTTGGCAGCTGGCCAGCGTCTGTGTGTGTGCGGTCGTTCCTAGAAAGTGCAGCCGCATGCGAGGAACAAGTGGAGCTCCAGAGCCTGTCTTCAGGAAGTGTAGCAGGTGTTGAGGTCAAGCCATTAGAGGTTTAAAAAAAGACTCTTCAGAACTGGTGTGTGCATGTGCACATGTGTACACCGTGGCAGGGCACCCAGCACCAAGTTATCTAGATGGTGGCAGCCCTGTGACACTTAGCTCAGTATTCAGGGGGCTGGCTGTTGGCATTTGAAACTCTTTGAATTCACTTTATGTTTCTGAGGCATATTCACTAATTATAGACTGCCTGGCAGAGCACCTGCCAAAATGTTTTATAAATACCAGAGTAGCTGAGGCATAATCCGTCACCCGAAATTTACCTTCCCCCAGGATTTGGAGATCAAGAACTGAAATAGGGGGGCTTTGGGTAGCAATGACTTAAACCCTCAGATGTGCACCTCTTTTTCCCCTTTAATTTTTAACATTGATTTGGTCTGTGCTCTCCTTGTTTATAAATCCTACTTTTAAAGGAGTAAATCATGTGCTGGGGGATTTTTAAACTTTTCTTTTTAGTTATATTTTAGAAGGACCAAAAATAATATTCTTGGGGAGAACCTGTAGAAACTATTACAAATGATTAGACTGGCTTGTTTTGTTGTTCACAATCTTTTCTTTATGTAACTTAATGGAGTGCAAAAATAGAATATCCCTTGCTCCAGCAACAGTTACAAAGACATTTACAGTTGACACAGATCTTTTTTTTTTCCCGAGACACAGCATGCTCTGTTGCCCAGGCTAGAGTGTAGTGGCATGATCTCCGCTCACTGCAACCTCCGCCTCCCAAGCTCAAGCGATCTTCATGCCTCAGCCTCCCTGGCAGCTGGGATTACAGGCACATGCTACCATTGCCTGGCTAACTTTTTTTTTTTGTATTTTTAGTAGAGACAGGGTTTCATTATGTTGGCCAGGCTGGTCTCGAACTGCTGACCTCAAGTGATCCGCCCATCCTGGCCTCCCAAAGTGCTGGGATTACAGGCGTGAGCCACCGCACCCACCCTGACACAGACCTTACTGTTAATGTGATACAGCGTCCATCTTGTTCTTTTAAACAACAAACTTTTACAAAGGCTTCTTTGTGCCAGACCTGTGCTGTATGAAATAAGGCATGTTTCACTCTCAGGGAGTTCAGGTCTAGCAGTGGCAGTGTGGGAACCTCAAGGGGGATTGGAACTTGGGTTACAATAATTTGATTCTGTCCTGAGTCTGCTGGAGCCCAGCCACCCAGTCTGTGCTATGGCAGAGATATTTTAAAACGGTTTTGTTTCAAACATTCACATGCCAAAGTTTAAAAAGTTAATTTTGTCTACAGCATAGCATAGCTTGGCAAACCAACAGAGATACCCAAAAGTATTTTGCAAGATTTTGGGTAAAGGAGGACAGGCATCTGCCAACTGAAAAGTGCAACTGGGAAAGCTTAAGGGTTCCAGAGATTATTCTTTGCATCTGAAATCCCTTACTTAGAACATGTAAAGTCAAAATTATTTCATGGATTCTCTTTGAAGAAACTCTCAGAAAATATTTGCTTCTCAAGGTCGGGATTGTTAGGGTGTGGTATTATTCTCTGACACCACAGTGATGGGAAGATGGATAACACCATTGAGTCTAGTGTTCTAAAACCCATCAGATTCCTATGGGCAGAGTAAATAATTGTAAAACAAGAAAACAGACAAAGAACTGAGTGTTCGTTTTCTCAAAGGAGATCATATAGCCAACTGGCAGATGTTGCTGGCCTTTTGGGGGTGGTGTTCTCTCCCTCTGGTAGAGGGTGGTTCAGGCAGTACGGGCTGGGTCTGTCTTGAGCCCATTGGTAGAGCTGGGTTACTGATGTAAACCCCCTTCGATAGAATAGAAAGAAGAAAGATGGCTTGACAGACATGTGGGGCCAGGGTGCGTGTGTACGATTTTCTGCATACTTTGGCAGTCACTTTGGTTACTGCATGTGGCTGTGATCCAACCACAGGCTTAACATAAGTTCACAGCCAATTCAGTGCAAAGCACTGGGAGCCATTGCACAATAAATGTTGGCCCCCTCCTCTACCCTTCCCCTTCTAGCCTGTTTTACAAGATTTTGTTTTGTGATTGCCTTCTAGAATGGAGGGTTTAATTTCAGAATATTTGCAATTAAAGAATTCCTAACGTCCTAAAGCTTGCTAATCACACATATTAACAAGGACAGGGTATTACCAATTTCGAACACCTCCTGGCTGCTTGGGGCACCCTCAGCTCATGACAGCTGCGTGGGTTCTCTCTGAATTTGTTGGAGAAGCACCTCTGCAGTACAGGAGCAAAGGAAGCTCCATGGCAAATGGGAAGAATTGCCATGTTAGATGGGCACTGGGAGACAAAGGGAATGTGATTTGAGAAGAGGGAGTTTCAGTTTTTTGGTTTTTTGTTTGTTTGTTTTTTCCCTATTCTTAACCATGAGCAAAATCAGTCTCATCTTACGGTGAGAGGCGACTTTCTGCTGGGCATTTAGTGGAGATTGCTGTCCATTTCTTCTAATGTTGTGACTGACTGACTGGTGTCCAGAAGCCATCCCTCTAAGTAAGGTGTGGTCTCTTGGGATAGGCCTACTTTTCTTGGTAGATACTGCATGACTATCATTAGCTGGGTGTGGTGGCGCACGCCTGTAGTCCCAACTACAGGAAGGTTGCAGTGAGCCGAGATCGCGCCACTTGCACTCCAGCCTGGGTGACAGAGTGAGATGGTGTAAAAAAAAAAATAGAAAAAGAAAAAAGAAGAGATACAGCATGACTATGGAACATTTGAGGCTTCTTTAAAAAACTGTGCAAACTATTGCCCAAAAAAGAAAATGTTCGTAGGCTTTCCTCATGTTCTTTGTAGAGCTACCTTGCATGCCCTTGCCTTCTACAGTCACAGTGGAATCCATCTAGTTGAGTGGTTCTCAATTAGAGGTGACCCCCGCCCCTTCCCAGGGGACATTTGGCAATGTCAGGAGACATTTTTGATTGCCATGACTGGAGCAGGGGGTAGTGTGCTATGAGCATCTAGTGGGTAGACCGGGGATGCTGCTAAACATC